AATATACAAATATTTACATCATTAGAAAACATAAGGAATTTTTCCGCAAGCGGTACGCTAAACGGGTTGCCGACCCTCAAACTATGGCATCAGGAACAACATCAATGATCTGAATGATCTGGCCCTGATAGCTGGGACTGAGCTGGTTATAAAAGAGGCAGGAGCAGGTGGATTAGATGAGTGGTAATTGGAAACCAGGCAGAGTTAGGCAGGTGAAGGAAATTAGCAATTAGATGGGCCATCAGAGCCATGAGCAGCAGCTCAGACCTAGAAAAATTAGAAAAGACTGAGCTGCCTGTTCTAACATAACTGATCACAGAACCACATAGGACCTCATAGTCCACCTTGGACCCCACAGCATGATGCAGCCACCATCTTACCCTGAGCCTAGAACACCTACAGATGAACCATGTCCTGTTCTGAGCCATTCTGGCCCTCAGGCCCAGGAGGTTCCTCCACCAGTCCAAACGTCCAGTGTCCTGATGCTGAAGCTCTTTCAGTGTCACATTTTTATCGCCACATGGTTCTGATCCGATCTCTACAGATGATCTGCTCACAGCGGCAGCAGATGGAGGACCGGCTGAGGTTCTACAGAACTGATTAGAAGCCAGGATCTTCTCACCTTGGCACTCTGCAGGTTTCTCACACCCGTCTGCCGCCAGCGGTGAACAAGCTCTGCATTGGTGGAGGCATCTTTCCCAGGAGCTGCTTCCTGGACCTTCTTAGATGTTAGAAACCTTCTCGTCCATTCTGGTTCCTGATGTTCCACAGAGATAATCTCAGAGCTGCGGCTTCTGCTCCCTGTTGGAGCTTCGGGTTGGTCAGAAGGAGGAGGACCTGATGTTGGTAAGAAGGTCTGCTGGAAGTTCTGTGGTGACCTGGTGTCTGGTTTTCTCTCCTCAGTGACGCTCACGTCTCGGCGCTGCTGTCCCTGAAGTTTGGCCTGTCAGCTTTGGACATTCGATCCATCAGAGCCAGCGTGGAGGAGAACCGCCCCCCTCAGGCCTCAGCCAATCAGAGCCCTGCGTTCTTCTCCCGGGTCAAAGTCAAATGGATCAATAATAAGATCAACCAAATGCGGGTCAAGAGTAAAAGTCCTGTAGCTGCTACTTAGCTTAGCATGTTAGCAGAGGTAGCTATAGCTTTTAGTTACCGTAGCATGTTGGCAGAACTAAATGTTGCTTCTACTTAGCGTCGCATGTTAGCAGAGCTAGCTGTTGCTTCTACTTAGCGTCGCATGTTAGCAGAGGTAGCTGTAACTTCTTGATGTTAATCTGCGTTCCTGGACCCAAAGTTCCACAGAACCTCTGGGAACTGTTCTGTAGATCAGAACTGTCTTCTGGATCGAAACTGTGAACTGTCTTCTGGATCAAAACTGTTCTCTGGATCCGAACTGTTCTCTGGATCAGAACTGTTCTCTGGATCAGAACTGTCTTCTGGATCGAAACTGTTCTCTGGATCAGAACTGTCTTCTGGATCGAAACTGTTCTGTGGATCGGAACTATTCTCTGGATCAGAACTGTTCTCTGTTTTGGAACTGTTCTCTGGATAATTTCCGTTCTCTGGATTGGAACTGTTCTCTGGGTCAGAACTGTTCTCTGGATCGAAACTGTTCTCTGGATCGGACCTGTTCTCTGGATCAGAACTGTTCTCTGGATCGAAACTGTTCCCTGGATCGGAACTGTTCTCTGGATCGGTACTGTCTGGATCAGTTCCGTTCTCTGGATCAGTTCTGTTCTCTGGATCAGTTCCGTTCTCTGGATCAGAACTGTTCTCTGGATCAGTTCCGTTCTCTGGATCAGTTCCGTTCTCTGGATCCGAACTATTCTCTGGATCCGAACTGTTCTCTGGGACAGAACTATTCTCTGGATCAGAACTGTTCTCTGGATCGAAACTGTTATCTGGATCGGAACTGTTCTCTGGATCAGTTCCGTTCTCTGGATTGGAACTGTTCTCTGGATCAGTTCCGTTCTCTGGATCGGAACTGTTCTCTTGATTAGTTCCGTTCTCTGGATCAGTTCCGTTCTCTGGATCAGAATTGTTTTCTGGATCAGAA